TACTCATTTGAAATGAAATATCAAAATTTCCCACCAATATTTTTCTTGTGGATTATGTTTATATATATTTCTTCTGACATATTAAATAATATGAATGGGCTGACCCGTTACTTGATGAAAATTAATAATACTGCCCATGATTATAATTGAACAATTTTCAAAAACATTTTTTTAGAAATGATAAATTTTCTGAAAATTGTTCACTTCGGTAGAAATTCTACGCGAAACGTGTATACATTGTATAAAAACGAATACAATAATTTATATTCAATTTATAATACAATACATTGTATTCGTTTGAAAATGTCATTATTATACGAAACTGCAGTAACGTTAATTACAAATACGAGTGGTAAAAAAACATAGAAAGTTTCATTTCTCATTTTTCATTTTCAGAAACTAACCCCCTCGCCTCATGCCTGCAATAACATATGAAAAGTAACACTTGCTAACACTAACAATTCCAAATTAATAAATCATATCTCAATGTGAAAATCTAATCAAGCACATATGTATATCCTTTTCAATTTTGTCTCATCACTACTAATTTTGTCAAATATTCGCAAAATGTTGCATCCTTTGACATGTATCACTGAGAACACTGACTGTTACTAGACCGTCTGTTTATTAATTCAGTGAATATATTTTGGATTTGTAAAAAGTCCAAAGTACTTAGGTCAGGTATTCTTGCCAAATTTCTCTTTCAATCCATTTTTCCTATGGAAGATCTATGCAGAAAGTGATGAACAACAGTGGTTATATTCAGGAAAGTACTTACTTTTGAATGCTTTGGTAGTGAAGTATATTGTTAATGTTTTTTATGAATAACTTGTTAGTGAACGGAATCCAACTTAAAAAAAAAATTAAAACATGCAAATCGATACTTTGTGTCATAATTATACTACCCTTTTCCACTTGAAGAGTTGAAAATAATTGCAGCAATTCCATTCTCAGTAGTGTTATTTTCACAATTCCGTTTTAGTATACCTGGAATCGTATGAATAACATAGGTCTTTTTATTTTTTCGTAACCGTGATAGTCAAAAAATTATTCGAAACATTTAATACTCCAGAATCTTTCAAATATATTGGAATATATATATTGGCATAATATTTTCTGTTGTTTTCACAAGAATTTACAATTATTATACTTTTTCTAGATGGAATTCAAGTAAGACTTCATTCAATCATATGGCGTTCTACCTGATAATTGAATAATGATTTTACCTGTGTTTAGGTATAAACTAATTAAAAAATTTCACAATTATGAAATAATGCTGGGAAGTTAACAGATTAAGAATCCTGAAAATTTACTGAACGACCAAGTAGAATAGAATTTTCCCCCTCCGATTAATCTGTTTCCTAAAGTGGAAATTCTCAATCAGTTTATAACGTGACTATTTAATGAGTTAATGTTTCATAACTTTGTTAATGTTTCATAATGTTTGGAAGAATTAGTTTTCAATTAGTGTACACCTAGATCCGGGTAACATGATCAGTTATTGAGTAGGTAGAGAGTCATATGATTCGAATTGTTATATAAAGTACTGATTATGTAAAAATTTTTCAGTATGAATACGCCTGGGGAAGCTATCGAATAGCGAAACATGTTTTTGCAGTTCTGTAAATTAATGGAACAAAGTTGAATTTTCCTCTTATAACAGCTTGAAAAACAAAAAATTAGATGCAATACCTTTCTGTTGATTTCTGTGAAATCTAGAGATGTCCATTCCTTGAAGAACAATAATTCATAGAGAATTTCTACAAAACTGGTGAATCAGAATTGAAACATGAAATCCAATTGAAAGTACTAGGGGAGGAACACGGGGGAGTTGACAGTTGAGAATAAACTCCTAAAACTTTAAACAAACATTACTTTTCAATTTAGTTTTTAGTTTTTTTCACAGTGTAACTAATCAGGTTTATATTATCAGCACATAAATTAAAAAATAAACCGAATAATGATATTCATACTCATTTTTGATAAAAGTTCCATTTCCAAAGATCACGGGGTAATTAGAACCAGAGAAAAGCGTAATGAGATGTACCGGGCCAATAGTAACCGTAGTAAGAATATGTAACAGAACTCATATGAAACTTAATTATATTATCTTCAGGAACCTACAAAATCACAGTCTTATATACGTCAAGAAGTTACAGCCCCAACTCATTTCTGACCTGTTTTTGCCAAAACTGTTCCTGATTTTTGAACTGTAGAGACTCCTGTCTCATCCATATTGAAGATTTGATGTGCTTCATATTTATTTTTTATAATAAGTTTGTCAAGATTTTTGTTAATTAGTTCTACTTCTTTGTTAAATCCCCCAATTCTATTAATACTTCTCGACTGAGGTTTGTGAACACTGATATTAATATTTCTTCTCAAAATTCCTTCAAGCCAATCTTATCCAGCACACTTGCTTTTCTTATTATAATTATGAAGTATTTTCAATTATTCGGCACATTCCTACGCTTTTACTAGAATATAATCCGTAAAAGAGATTCGTCATATGTATTAGATGATCAGTCACAATTTGTTCTTGAGCAAGAGAAAATACTAGTTTTCTTCCGAAACAGGGATTTGTTTGTTCTGGTCCGCGATACTTTTTTGCAAAGTACTATACGGAATGAACTCTTGGGATACTGTATGCAGAGAAATTCTATCATCATTGACTCTCTTGATAGCTCGGTGTGGCGAGTCACACGTACCCCTCCTACGTTCTTCTATGTTACGTAACGACAAAACAGGATCTAACTCGTTAGGAAACACGTAGTTCTCATTTTCCTGTGGCTCCAATTTCCCCGTGTTCCCCTATCCAGTGTATGTTGAATAGGAGTAATCATGGAGTTTTGTAACCAATGTGAACTTCCGAAAGCGAAACTAGAAATAAAGTTTAAGTCATAACTATTCGATCTAAGTTTTTCCGTTATTCACAATTGGTCAGAAATAGTAAAAAACGTATTGCGGTTTTGTGAACTGTTCAGCGAAATTTCTCACAATAAACTGTTGCTCGAATACCTTATATTTCCATGTTTTTAAAAAACATTGAAAGTTTCGATTATCTTTTTTCACTGTTCAATCTTGTTCTTTAGCAATTGTTCGCAGAGAAGTTTAAGGGCCCCTATTCACAAAACCGCAATACGTTTTTCACTATTTCTGACCAGTTGTGAATAAAGGACAATCTTAGATCGAATAGTAACGACATACATTTATTTTATTTCTAGATTCGCGTTCGAAAATTCATATTGGCTACAAAATTTCATGATTACTCCCATCCAACATAGACTGGATAGGGGAACATGAGGGAGTTGGAGCTACAGGAAAATGAGATTCACTTTAGTTTACGTGTATCCTAACAAGTTAAATCCTGTTTTGTCATTACGTAACATAGAAGAACATAGGAGGGGTACGTCTGACTCGCTGCAACGGGCTATCAAGAGAGTCAATGATAATAGAATTAAATCAAAGTATTTTTCACAAAGAAAAATCTTCTATTTATCAGTAACTTGTCGTATTTAACAATTTTGCCTATCAAAAAAATTGTTAAGAAATAATTCAATACTTATCTTCGACAGATGTCAAAGAAGTTTTGAAATATGAAATTATGTCAATGTTGTTAATTGACAACTGAAACATTCGATGTAATACAAGGTACTCTCCTATATCAGTCTGTTGCCATTTCGCCACACTCCAATTTTTTCTTCAAGATGGGTAGCCAAGTACGGTCTATTTCTAAGGAGCTATTCGAAATACAATTATTTCCAGATACGAGAATATACGCTGATCCTTTTAGCTTACGTCTCTTAGAGTGACGCTCATTGGTAATCATTCTTATCCTATTCCATTCCACTCGATGTTCACCGTATGATTTCAAAATGTGTTCTGACAATTTAGATCCTGTCAATTGTCTATTTTTTATGTAATCTCGATGTTCATTCTCACGCACTTTCAATGGTCTCGAGGTTTCACCAATGCAACTTTTACCACAAGAACAAAGTATTTCATAAATACAATTTTTTGTTTTTTCTTCAGTGTTGTTGGGTTTTGTATGTGTGAGTATAGATCTCAGTGTATTTTTTGTTTTGAAAATAGTTCTAACATCATACCTATTTCCAATTCGTCTTAATTTTTCAGATAGTCTTGGAATGTAAGGTATAACGTTAGTTGTGAAAGGTGTCGGTGGATGTTGAGTCGGTAATTGGATGTTGTTGAATTTGTGAAGCTGTTTGTATGTTCGTTTTGTTTTTAATTGACTCTTTATTTTCTATTGCATTTATCGTTGAATTTATGAACGAATCTTGATAAGCGTTATCTTTCAGAACAGCTTTAATTAATTATATTTCTTTATTTAGATTTTCAGTTGAATTGCATATCGTTTTAGCTCTTTTGTAAAGGCAATTTACTATACCTTTTTTAACACTCGCATAATGATTCGATGTTTAGTGAAGATATCTATTTGTATGTGTTTTCTTCTGATAAACATTTGTATCAAATTGATCTGATGACTTCTCCAACATTACATAATTTTTATATTTTTCAGATTGTGGAAGGTAACAAATACCCAAAAAAGGTCGATAAAAAACTGATTTTCCTCCACAAAAAAATGACTTGAATACTTCAGTTACAGGTGTACACTAATCAAAAACTAATTCTTTCAAACATTGTAAAAACAATTTTAACAACTCATTAAATGAGCATGTTATAAACTGATTGAGAATTTCCACATTAGAAAACAGATTCATCAGAGGGAAAGAATTCTATTCTATTTGGTCGTTTAGTAAATTTTCAGGACTCTTAATCCGTTAATTTCTGAGTATTATTTTATAATTGTGGACATTTTGTACTTATACATCAAACTAAAGTTTAATGTATAAGTTTGAAAATGTCCTTATACGATGAGTATGAGGTATTTTTAAAAATCACAATCAAAAATGAACCCATATCAATGTCTATATTATATTCTGGAAAATAACATTTTGAAATATATTTCTTTGTTACAGATGCATTCAACGATGATGGCATTTTCACATTTCCCAACATACCTACCAGGAATGCGACCTATAAATCCGGGTCACGATATACAAGAGGCTCCGGTAATCCTGGATTTATGTACAAAAAAACGTTCACTATCCCCAGACTTCCCACACGACTATACCCCTCACCCCTCAAACCCAACCCCCATTTCACCCTCCAGTCCAAAAACAGATATTTCAGATGTGTCGAGTTCAGAAGAAAATAATAGTCCCTTGGGAGCCAAATGTAGTAGACCTTTCAAAACATATCCCAATAATCCAATGGCTGTTGCCATGGCGAGCCCCGGTTTGGAGAATATTTTAGGAAAAGAATCTGCAGAAGCTTATGCAGAGTTCAGGAGCAGAATGTTGTCGCAGGTCCAGTCTTGTCACAATGTAACGAACAAAAATATGAGGCGGACCCAGTCGACCAGTACCCAATCTGCCGATCCCGTCTACCTTGAGAAAAGAAAGAAGAATAACGAAGCAGCGAAGAGGTCAAGAGATGCCAGGAGGGCGAAGGAGGATGAGATAGCGATAAGGTGTGCGTTTTTAGAGCAGGAGAATTTGCAGCTGAAGTGCCGAATTGCTGCATTAGAGAGTGACAGGGCAAGATTGCAGAACATGATTTACAAATAATCTATTTTAGAAACTTTTTAATGAGTGTTTTTAGTCAGTTGTATATATTTGATTATTATTAGGATAACACCACCAATTTTTGTGAAATAAATAAAAAGGTGACATATTATGAAGGAGACGTTTTTATTTTTCAGTATAACGTCTTATAATGTTTTTAACTGGAATAAAATAAATGATAATTGTTTATTTTGTACAGTTTCATTTCAAAGTGATTATCAAAGTTACAAGATAAAAATGGACTCTGAAATATATAAGGTACTTGATCAAATCAACGAATCAACATCCAATAAAGGTGGCATCTCCCTCAAAATACGTACCTAGTTAAAATGCAATATCTGAGGATAAGATAACCTTTGAATGAAAAGTAGCAGTGAAAAATTATGCTGGAGTGTAAAATTCCACTATAAAATTATGGTAAAGTGTGAAATTCCATTGTGAAATGTGAAAAAAACAATCCACATTTCTTTTCATGGTAAAATTACAAGTTAATATTCCGCATAGAATGTGAGATCACACACAAAAGTAAAAATCTCGGTAATTTGGGTGGTAATTAAATTGCCGCCGTTACTGGTGGAGAATTTGTCACCAGTGTCATTTGTGAAATTCTCTGTAACACAGAGCGTTGTCCAATATGTCCTATTCGTTGACTTTCTGCCACTTTCCATATCTTCAAAACATAGTCAGGATAAATCCAGTATGTGTCCCTTTTACTCAAACTTATTTCACTAAACATGTTCGTTATATTTATATTAAAGTGTATTCTGACAGATCCTGTCACTTGTCTATTCTTCGTGTTTTGAGGTTATGCATTCTTGCGCATTTCCCATTGTCTTGGTGTCTCAGTAACTTCTTTCATGAATCATGCTATAACACAGACAAATAACAAAAAAAATCATTCATAACATACATTTTCTTGTGGCAAGAATATACATTATTAATGAGACATCAAGGTCACTGAAAGTGCTTAAGATTCAACATCGAAAGTACATCAATAAGAGAAAATTGACAGTTTCATGACTGTCCCCAAAAAATGGGCTAACTTTTATTATACCTAGATACATTAAATTGCCCTGTCATTTTATAAAAACGAAAATCACCGCCAATGGAACTTTTGTAATGATATATTGAAAACAATATACACAATCGAGGGCCATTTTAAAATGTCAATAACCTCGAGAAAATTATAAAATTGTGATATTATTGTAAGTTGAAAGAGGTATATTTTTAGAGATCAGTTTTTGAAAAAAAAACTTATTGGCTTCTTTATACAAAAAACGTGGGAAACATCCGAAGAGAGGAAAAAATTCTTTACAAAGATGTGAAGGTCATTTATGTAAGTAACTTTCAGACACACAAACTGGAAGAAAAAGCCCCCTCGAAATGATTACTTTCATATAAACAATAAATCACACAGAAAAGTAATTTCGAAACAACTATTTTTTTCTTCCAATTTTTATCTACTCCTTTGCATAATCTATATACATCCTTGTAAGGAGTTCATTTCAAAATACATTGCTCTTTTCCTTTCTTATGAAGATTCCCACATTTTTTTTATAAATATGGAGAAGGAAAAAACTTAGACGTTTCTTACCTACTGTCAAAATACTCTCAGATGCGAAGTGGAAGAAAAAGCTCTCTTCAAACAACTACTTTCACATAATAACTTCCACCATGTGTCGTGAAATGTGTCACAGGGAATAACTTTCTTATTAGTCAGTGGGCTATGCTTGAAGACTGGCGGTAAACAAATCATAAGCAAATGAACTTCAAACGTTCAAGCCAGTCTCTATATACCTACACAGTAGGTTTAATGGACTGACGCCTATCAGAAAACAACTACTCCCCTGGCTACCACCACGAAGGGCGTTGGATTATATCCGACAGGCGTCAGTGCAGGAATCTTCACAGAAAATTTCCTGCATATGCAATTGGCAATGCAACTGAAAGAGTCGACCTTCAATTATGGAACGGGCACACTTGCAGACCGGTTTTGGGCTTATCAGCCACTTATTAGCAAGTGTGCCCGTTCCATAATTGAAGGTCGACTCTTTCAGTTGTATTGCCAATTGCATATGCAGGAAATTTTCTGTGAAGATTCCTGCACTGACGCCTGTCGAATATAATCCAACGCCCTTCGTGGTATTAGCCAGGGGAGTGGTTGTTTTCTGATAGGCGTCAGTCCATTAAACCTACTGTGTAGGTATATAGAGACTGGCTTGAACGTTTAAAGTTCATTTGCTTTAGACAAGGAATAAAATGTTTTTCTTTTTTTTTCCACATTATTCAAACTAAATTTTATCCTTAATAAATAATTCATTTCATCATTCCCAAACAGAATCAAATGAATTATTCTTTGTTTCTACCCACTCCTATACTATATTATAGGTTGGATAATGATAAGAATGTGTTATTATTATTATTATCTGTTTCCACCAAAGGGTAAGCTGGTCGAGCCCTGTCTCTGAAACTCCTCCGGCAAAGTCGAGAGGGCGCGCCAGCATTATCAATCAATGACCACTCCCCATACCGTGGGGTGAGCGATTATTCGGTCCAAGAACCATGTGTTCCAAGCAGACGAAATGAGACAAGAATGACAGTCTTCTTCATTTGTCCGGCCAAGATTTCAGCGATCGTGCGGCAAGCCGGCATGATCTTGAGATTTCGGAGGGCATCATTCCACCAAGAACTCCAATAATCAGAAAAACCATCGACAAAACGCGTTTTGTCGATCAATATAGGCTGAGACCGCATATGCTGCTGCTGCAAGTACATTGGGGTATCAGGTGCCTCGCGGCAGGCCTTGCACCCATCACTTGACTGCATAAGACTAGGGTGTCGAAGGCACCATTCTAGTAGGCCATTATGAGCCCCTCAGTTTTCGACTTCAGCCCACTCAACCTGAGAAAAGCGAAGGTCATATGCTCTGATAATAAGAGCTCATCAATGTTATTAAAGAAGACCCCATGCATTGGCCTATGCTTGTGTTGACGCAAAAGTGAAGTGATCTCTGCGGCTTTTATGTGGGCCATAGTTGATGTGATCACCTCGTTCAGTGTCGAAAACTAAACTGATGTCATACGCCGCTCGGACAGCTGCCCTAAAGAGAAATACTCCAATTCCTGCTCTCTCATAATTGCGGACCATGCAGAGAAGGGGATCAGAACTCTTGATGCATTTACATGCCCTATCCAGTACCATTCTAACCTATAGACACTCCAAACTCAACAATCCACGGCCTCCTGTGGAAGTACAAACGTGGCACGGACGCTTCGGGATGCGTTTCTCCTCCTCTTTTCGGACGATATTCGTCTCGCCAGGAGCTGAAAACTCCACGACAAATATCGTTTTGCTCTGGTGGTCGAGAAGGACTACATCAGGTTTATTAGCTTGTATAAGCCTAAGGGTGGGGAACGAAGAGTTCCAATAAATTTGGTACTTCTCGTTATATGAGCTTTTTGCTGAACTGGTTCCAACTCGGTGACAGAGTTGTGGTCACCTCGTTCAGTGTCGAAAACTATACCGAGTTCATCAGCTGCTCGGGCAGCTGCCCTAAAGAGAAATGCTCCAATTCCTGCTCTCTCATGGTCACGGATCATACAGAGAAGGTGATGCGAACTCCTGACGACTATATACAGGCTATATCTAGTAATATTCTGTCATATAGAGACTCCTAACTCAAAATTCCACGGACTCCCTGTTGTGGGGGGAAGTACAACCGTGAAACGGACGATTTGGGAGGCAAACTCCTATAGAGATGCATCATTTTTCGGGTCTTTACTGTTATTATTATTATTATTATAAGCTGTACCACTATTCGAATAAAGCGTAATTGTAGCCACTTAGAATGAATATTGCAAATATACAAAAGTACTTTTTCATGAGATTTCAGAAGATGCAGAAAAGATTGTTTCACAAACCTTCATGAAGTGTTAACAAAAAATATTCTCCCAATTGGATGTCATCGTCTGTCGATTACTGTATACCTACAAATCAACACTGAAACGAAAAAAAATCATTTGAAATTTCAATTTTTTTATTAATGTCATTGAAAAAAATGTGAGGTAATTTGATTATTCGCATTGGATTAGTTTCACTCTTCTTTTACCACCTATAAAAGTTTTGTAATATGAAATGACCAAAATTGTTACTTCATAGACGACAGGTAGGTAGGTAAGACAGACAGGTCTTCAATCAAATTCAGATTATGAATATTATTGCCTAACAAAGCAACAATTAAATCTCTGCATTAGTGCCAGGTAAATTAAATCTCTGCATTACTGCCAGGTAGAATTGCGTCATACTCATTTCTGTTCAAAATCCAAATGGATCTGTATAAACCTACAAAACTAACAACATCTCAAGATATAAAATGACCCAGAAAAACTGCAATTTCCTTGTCCCAAAAGTGAACTGAGAGAACGTCAATCGTTTTTCAGTATCATCAATTGAATAGATTTAGACAAAAAAAACAGTGTATTTATTGAAAACACTATTTTTGTGAATGAATTTCAATAGATAGATATATTTATTGGTGTCATTCATACAAAGTTTACTTAAAACATTCATTTTTTGAATTGAAAGGGGTGTACTTTTTTAGGAGAAAATAATATAGTTTGTACTGCTTCATTAATTTCACTTTAGTTTCCCACATGCATTTTTTGTTTTGAACCGCTTCCATATCTACATGAAGAATCAAAAAATGAATGTTACTTAACATAATTACTGTAAATCAAGCCTGCCATAACATCCACATTTTCTGGAATTTGGCTCAGTTACAGGTCAGACCTATTAACACATTTTCGAGAGTTACTCGATTTATTGGAATATTTTTCCTTCACTAAAATAAAATTGAGTGTTTTCTTTTTTATTGATAACAATACATGATCAAAAATGGTTTGTTTAGTTATTGGTATACCGTCCTTCATTTAGAAGAACTTCTGATGAAACATGACAATTCTCACAAAAATTGAATATTTCTCAAATCGTTCGTTTCGGGCATCCATTCTTTCAAAAAATGTCAACAAAAATCAAAGACACATGAATGGAGTTTCAAAAGTACC